CCTGGGCTGGGACTGGTCCCGCCGACGCAGGGTAACAGGAAACTCTCTGCACACTCACCGGACCTGGGCTAGGACTGGGTCTTAAATCTATATATCATTTTAAGGAATATGGCAATTTTGACAAAACTAGCTCTATCTATCCAGGAACAGGGGATATATTTTTATTTCTGATGTCCTCTTTAAACTTCTTTTTCAGAGTACTGTAGTTTTCATTGTAGTTGACTTCCTTGGTGTTATGACTTGTGCTTAGATGTTCCCTCCAAACCTCATGTAGGCATAGGTAGCCTTTTTCAGAGGTAGATGGAGCTAGAGTATGTGATACTGGAATTGATTCATGGTGCAGTACTAAGATCAGGGACACTAGGATTAAAGATGTGAATGCTACCCACCTAAGCAGCCTGGATAAGATATAAGGGCTAAAAAGTGCTGTGACAGTTCTTTGCTGCTTATTGTGTCTGCCTGCTATGAACTGTTTGTCCTGTGTGATGCTCCTCTGTTATGTGACCCTGCCTTGGAGCCAGCCAGTAACAAACTGAAACCTTTAAAATTGTAAACTAAACACATTTTTCCTCCTTTAACTTTGGGTGTTGGGTATTGTGTCTCAGCAATGAGAAAAGTAAGACATTTTTTTTTTTTTGATGCTATTGAGAATCACATTCTTTCCTACTTTCTTTCTCAGTGAGTTTATTATGGATGTACTTGAATGCTATTGATTTTTGTGCTTTTATTTTGTAAACTTCTGCACTGACAAATTTGATTAGTAAGTCTAGGAGTTTGATGTAGGCCATATCATCTGCATATGATAGATACATATTATTCATTTCTAATACATATCCCTTTTTCTTGCTTGATTGCTTTGGTTAATGTTTGAGCAATATGTTGAACAGGAGTGGTCATAATGCCATTCTTGTCTTGTTCCAGATTGTAGGGGAAATTTTTCAGTTTTCTCCCATTTAATATGATGATGGCTATTGGTTTTTCACAAATGACTTTTATCAGATAGCAATAAGGTCCCTTTATACTTATTTTTTCAGGGTTTCTACCATAAATTAGTGTTAGGTTTTGTCAAGAACCTTTTCTAATGATATGATCATATGGTTTTTGTCCCTACTTCTGTTCACATAGTATGTTAGTTACTAATTTGCATACGTTGAACCATTCTTGAAAGCCTGGGATAAAATCTATTTGGTCATGATGTATGTGATCATTTGCTGTGTTCTATTTGCCAATATCATATTGAGAATTGTTGCATCTGTGTCCGTTAAGAGATCTATAGTTTTCTGCTTAGTTTTCACTCAGAGTGATATAGTTATAGAAATGACCTTGGGAAAATTCCTTTACTTTCAATATCATTGAAGTGTTTGAAGAATATTAAAGATCTTATAGACCTCAGTAGTAAATCCATCAGGTCTTGGCCTTCTCTTAATTGGTAGGTTTTTCTTTTGTATTATTGCTACCTCAGTTTCATTTGTTACTAGAATTGTTAAGAATTTTTATGTCTTCTTGGTTCAGTTTTGGTAATTCATATGAATCTAGGAATGTCCATTTCAAGATTTTTTAATGTTTTGGAGTACAATTTTTTCACAATAGTTACTATCTTCCAGATTTTGATGGTGTTCATTTCTGACCTGTGCAGTAGCCAATCTAATGTCCAATACAGAACCTTCATTCCAAAAATACATTGAAAATATTGTCATATATTTAAGTTCAGTAGGCATTTAAGGTTATTGAAGCTTTTGTTTTCAGCCATTTTGCAAATTAATTTCATTAATTATATAACTTTAACAAAAAATCAGCTAAATAAATCAATAATTTTACAAATATAAGCATACTTTATAAGTTTTGCTCTATTAAGGCACTATAACATTATAAAATAATAGAACTATGTGATGAATTGAGTCTCAGCAATCTGAAATAAGTCAAAAAAATTTTATCACTGTGTCCCAATGCTAAACCTTACAGCACTCTAGTTTGAACCATGGTTAAATTTAAGTTCAGATAAAAGATAAATGCCATAACTGGAGTTCTTAGCACTGTAGGTACTTGACTGACTGAATTGACCCATACAGATAGCCAAGCTCCAGAATGCTATTATTCGTGAGCCCTATTCTCAACTATTCTAGAGGTGCAGAACTGGATTTCAAGTGATACTGTATAGGTGCTACTTTCTTTTATCCCAACAAATTTGTTCTAGTCCAGAAAATTTATTGTTATTATTTTTGTCATGAAGCTCACATATTTACATTCATCTACTCAGGATAGAACTTTCAGAGGTTAAAGTACTCATGGATGAGTCAGTGAAATACCTTTAAAGCTTAACTTGAAAGTACTGTATTTCCTGAAATAATACAGGAAGGCCAAGATTTACTCACATTGCAAAGGATTTCCACCATTAGATTACATGATTGATGAGGGAGAGGTGTTTACTGTTAGTATTCTCAACACTTAGAAAAGTGCTAACAAGCTCTCAATGAGTGAGAATTATGGCTCTCAATGTAGGACTGAGTTTGAATATCAGGAATAGTTGTAACAATTTTAAAAAACTATTTACAGTTAATTTGAGGGGGGCCAATTATTTTAGTTTTTTGTGACAATATTTTTTCTTGACTTGTGGTTATTATTAATTCTGTAATTCCACTATTAACAGATGAGATCCTGGAACTCCTCATGATCACTATCACTACCAGAATCTTTTTGGAAAACAGTTTTTGCACTGAAAAGTGAGGGAAATGTTTTCTATGAGCTCTGAAATGGTTTCTCAATATTTGGTAAATTAGTGATTCCATATTGTACCGATGACATATTTAGTTAATAAAAAACTGAAAGATATCGCTCAAAGCTTTTATTTCAAATTAGCAAAAAATTTTTGGCAACTATTTTATTAAACACTTTCAAACAAATTTTAATCAAATGTGAGAAACATTTTTGAATACTGATCTAATACATAGCAAGTTTCTAATTCTCAGACACCATATATTTTGCTAGCCAGGTGTCAACACTATCTCCAACTTTTAATGGCGCAAAGAATTAAGCAGTAACCTAATCTCGGCCAAATGATTTTATTTTGTATATTTGACTGGAAATCTATATGCTGACTTTATTCAATTGTTCACATCCAATATTTTGATCTTCAAAAATTACTGGCACAAAGTATATTTAATATGAAATACTATGTTTTAGAAATAATGCCAATGAGTTTTACAGGCTAATTCTCGTTTTTATTCTTATCATCTCCTGTCTGTTTGGGGTGTGGTGGGTATTCTAAAATTTTTTAGTCTTGTGTGACAGATAATTTTCTTGTCTCTCCTACACAGCAAATTGCAATTTGCTGTTGAAACACTGGCCTAAATTACTATTTTTGTTTGGCTACCCTAAAGGGATAATGAGTAATTAAATGTTCTATAAAGAATATGCAAGTTTCTTAACGTTCCTTGATTGTTTAGGTCAACTCAACATTCATAACATTCAATAAGGAACTGTTTAAAAACATAGAGTTCTAGACCCTAACTCCAGTGATTCTGATTACAAGGGTGGGGTGGGTCCCATAAGTTTTTCTCAGATATGTAAGTTAGGATGGCTACTATACATTTAGAACGTTTGAATTGGTTTAGATATTTACTAGTAAGGTTTTTTTTTTGGGGGGGGAGGGGTTCAGTCTTTGAATAAAGGAAACAAATTCCTGAGGCATGAGATAAAATTTCCTTAAATCCAAACTGTTTTCTTGGCAAATAATCATAGTAGCTCAACTAAGTTAACTGTAAACTGCATCTGTTTTGACTGAGTTGATACACTCAGGATAACTGCGAGGAATTAATAATTGATTTTTCTTTGGTCCCAGGGTTCTGGCCTCTCAAGAGGGCAAGGGTCGCCCCAGAACTGCCCTTGGAGCTCCGGGGAGGGTTTGCGTCACTTGCGTTATCAAAGGCAAAGCGTCCAGCAGGACACTCTGCAAGGGTCCTGATAGGAAAGCGAGTGGGCGTCAAAGTAGGCCAGGACCGAAGCGTTAGAGGCGGCTGGCCCCCCAAACTTCCACGAGCCCTTTGGTGAAGTCAGGGCGGCCCTGAAACAGTGCAGGGGGCAGGTTCTGACCCGCTGAGATCTCGCTGCGAGCCTTGTCTGCTCCGCCGCCCCTCTAAGAACCAAGCGCCCGAGGGCCGGCCCACCCCGCGGCTCCGTTCAGGACAGGCTGCGCGGGCCGGGCTGCAGCGGCGGGCGGGCTCCCTCCTCTCGGCCGGCTCTCCGGTCCTCTCGCCGCGAACATGTCCGCCAAGGCCGACGTCGGTTTAGTGCGGGAGGCCTCCAGGCAGATCGTGGCCGGCGGTTCTGCAGGTAAGGCGGCTCCGCTCCACCGGGGCGACTCGCTGCCCGCCCCTCAAGCCCGGGGCGTGTTTTCGGACGAATCTCGTAGGCGCTCTTCAGCCCCACGCTCCGGGAACGAGAGAGCAGGGGAGGCCGGGAGACCGGGAGCAGGCGGTGGGCGTCGGGTGCCTCCGGAAAAGTCGCCGCGGCGTCCGCGGATTCGGCTCTCGGGTTCCTGGCCTTCGGTGTTCCTAGGGGAGGACCAAGTTCTGCAATTTTGGGGATGACTTTTTCATTTGGTGAAAGGTTCCGTGTTTTTTAAGCTTTATTTTCCACTTTCTTTCAAGTTAGCGCTGATGTTCATAAAAATCTTGTCTCTCGCCAAAGTATTACGTCAGAACTCCACAGAGCGCTTATTGCTTAGGTGCTTGCTGGGAGATATAGCCATGCTATTAATAGGCATATTAAAATTAAATGCATTTTAACACATATACACACCTTTGATAAGGGCTCACATTAATTTATGGGGAGTTATGCTGTGGGATAAAAGCTAGAAACCAATGTTGGAAATAAATACTTAAGTGTGGCTGGAGGTTATGAAATTATGTATATAAATTTAAAGATATTTTAAGATATAAATTGTAATTTGGTTGAAATTTAATACTGAGATGCATTGTTATATGATTTAAATAACTACCATAATTGGCTTATCACCAGCAAACATTTTTAATAAGTGTGATTATTTTAATAAGTTATGCTATGGTAGCATTAAATCATATTAAAATGGTGACTAGAAAATGTCTAATGTTTAGTCTTGACTAGTTAATTTTCAAGCAAATTTGAAATTTTATATGAATGTATTACAAATTGTCACTAGTTATTATTATGTCGTGAATTACTTTCACCTTTAGGATCTGACAATCAACCCAATATGTTGCTTAAAATCTGGATGATTTCCTAAAAATAATATTTAATCGGTATGTAAGAACAATTGAGTTCTTACAGGTCATTGTTTGTTGTCCTTCCATTAATATGATGTCAGGGGATATGCTGCCTACTTTTGCAGTTGTTTCCCAGTAATGATGATGAACTTGCACCGATTTATTCACAAATTTTTGTGGACTTCCTCATTATTCAGGGCTTGGCTGGCTATGTCTTTCTTGAGTCTGTGCCTCTGATTAGAGAAAACTCAGCTGGTCCATAGTGAAAGTGAAGCTATTCGGTTAGCACCCTAAGCTATGGCCAATAACACATTAGCATTTGTATATTGGTTTAAGTGAACATAATATGTACTAAGCATAGCTAAACTCAAAGAATATTAGATGTAGGTCAAATTCTAACAATTTTGTTGGGTAAGTCTATAGCATAGATATAATGTGTGATTCTGTCACGTATTCTTAAAATTGTGAGGAATATAAACAAAATTAGAATATGTATGAAATAAATTTAAAATGGTAGAATAGTTCTTACAACTGTAATAAATGCTATTATTTCCATTATATACTAGATAAAAGGCCAGGAAGAAATTAGTATACAAGAAAGGTAAAATTTTGATTAAAAGATACATTTGAATTTATGGCACTGTATTTCTGGTTAGTATCATCTTTAAGTGTGTATTATGTGATCTTTTCATTGTTAAAGTCCAGTATATTCTAAAAGAATGTTCTTTTAATAGAAAAAAAAAAACTGGGGAGAGATACCAGAGTGCCCTACAGAATGCAAGGTCTGCGATTCATCCCTGTGACAAACTGGGATCACTGAGGATTCCATAAACTGGAGCACGAAGGAGGGACCCAGAAAGTGAATTCTTTCCATCTCTTATTTCTTATCTTTGTTAAATGGTCAGACATCTCTGAAGTATCAGGTTGATGCCTACTGCTATTAGGATGGGTTGTGAGACTTCCAGAAATTGGCCTGGAAGAAGTGAACATGGCCACATAGATTCAGACATTTGCCACTTAGCAAAAGGTAATCATTGTAGTGTCAGTTCCCTGTATTCCTAGCACCCCAGCCAATGTCTGAAGGGGCTAAATGGCATCTGATAAGTGGTTGGTACAACACTGTAGAAATGTATAGACTTATATGGATGTCTGTAGCTGTAACCTAAGTGGAATTGAGGTAGAAAGTCTTGTTTTTAACCAAAACTGAGGTAATGGGTGAAAAACAGTTTTGTGGCAGTCTTACACTAAATGGAGGAGGGCTTCTTATCATCATCAGGTAACTTATCTTCCTTTTTACTGGGAGAAGTCACAGGACAGTATACCAAGACTCAGGCCAAAACTTGGTTTAACCCTGTGTAACCTAGTTTAGATGGAGAGTACAAGGTGTCAGGTGCCAGTCTAACAGGTAGAGCCATTTCCCTATGTTCTCCGAGTAGTCTTGTTTCTCACAGTTAACTGCTGTTTATGGTCTTTGATCTATGTGATGGAAACTGTCCCAGTACAGCTTCTGAGGCTGCATGTTCTCACCTTCTCTGAAGGGTGTGAGAGTCTTGGGCCAAACTCTTAGGGATAAACTCAAAATAATCCAGCACTGGCAGGGATCCCACCTCCACACCAATCAAGTGTAGCCGATCTTCATGTAGATGGAGGCTGGGATCTCAAGGGAGAACTAGAGAAACTAGATATATTGTGAGAGGGGCAATAGATGTCTTTTATAATAATATACATCTATCTCTTATTACAAGACCGTTGAAATACTTTCATTTAAAAGACTAAACAGATCAATGCCTGACAGGTAGTTGGACAATACACATACAAAGTTGAGCCTTGGGTTTGCAGCCGTAGCTATTATATATAGATTTGCTCATGTGACAGCTTTGTCTTATGTGAGGAACAAGGTTATGAGAAGTCGGTGTATACCAGACTTTTATAGAGTGGGCCATGTTCTTAGCCTTTCAGTCTTGTTCAATTGGTGATTCTCCCTAAACTCTCCCTTTGGCCAGTAAAGCCTTTCAAGCTTCCTCATGAGGTCACCCTTAACTCCAGTGCACACTGAATTCTCTTCCATAATGGCAACTCTAGGTCCCTTCTTCTGTCTCCCAGAATCTTACTCATGACTCTCTGTATCTGCCAGGCTCACAGTACTTCCCAGAGCTCATTGCATATCTGTACCACATATCGGATCACTATTCTGGCAGGACACTGACTAACCTTCTCTACTCCCTCAGCTGCTGTGTCTTCCTTCCTGTTCAGCAAGGCCCAATACTGCTGATGAGAAGATGTCATTCTTGGTACTCAAGTGTGATCCATGGATGAGACAATAAGGAGCGCCTGGAAGTTGTTAAATGCAGGCCTCACTTCGTCTTCATCTACATCAGAATCTTCAGTTTAGAAAGACTGAAGGTCATTGGTTTGTACTTTAAAGTTTCAGAAGCACTGTCTTAGAGGCATTTGGAACAAATAGATTTCCTAGAATGGGAAGACCTAAGCCAGATTACAAGGAGTTGTAAATAAAATATTTTGTTTCCTTGCTGATCAGACAGTTAAGAATGAATTCTGTACTTCATATTATATGCTCTCAATTTAAACTTCTGCCCTTCTACACATTCTAGTTGGCTTCTCATACATAAATCTACTTACCTTTCTTATGTCTATTTGGTACTGGAATTGAAACCAGGGCCTTCATACTGAACTAAATCCTTTGCCCTTTTTTATTTTGTCTAGGCTAGGTTGAAACTTGTTATCCTCCTTTATCAGTTTCCTAGAATTCTGGGAATATAGGCCTCATTAATTTTATTTTTTTTTTTGGTACTAGGGATCAAACTCAGGACCTTGTGCACGCCAGGCTAGCACGTAAGCCACTAAGCTATCTCCCAGGTCCTTATCACTGTTGAATCTTGTTTCATCTTTTCACCTTCCATCCTGGTATCTAGAATGTCTTCCTTTTATTTTCTCTTCTCATTGAATTTCTATACATTTTTGAAGGCCCAACTTGAAACATATTTCCTGGATAAATATTTCCCAGATAGCTCTACTGCTCTGTGCACCTTTAACTTTCTCATTAACACTTGAAAGACACAAATAATGAAACTATCTGATACCTATTGAAGTCAATATTAAATACCAGAACCAGTTTAAGCTTTACATATGTTAACATTTTTAATCCTCCTTACAGCTCCAGATGTAGGTACTATTTTACAGATGAAGAAATTGACACGTAGAGAAAATATTTAGCACACTCATGGTTTTTCAAGCATGCAACAGTATTTATAGGAGATTGATTTTAGGAGAGGGACTAGCAGAATATTATTCCCATTATTTTACATTTTTGGAAGTTGGTGTTATCAAGTCTGCTATGGTTTATTCTTTCTATAGAGTCTCTTAGTTTGCAGTCTTTTTATCTACAAACACAATCCTTAGAGTCTTTTTATTAAAAAAAGTTGTGTTTATCTGCATGAGTACAATATTAACTATTGGCCAAAAGAAAACTTAGTTCTAGAATAACGAAGTGCTTGTGCTTAATCCATGTAGGTCCTCTATGCAGTTTGGCACATTAAGAACTGAAAAGGGCTCTGGCTATAGGAGCAAGTAAGTAGTAACTGAATTCTAATCCATTCTCTGTAATGGGGACCTCTCAAAGCAAAGATGTGTCTCCCCCTGGGAAGCTTTTGTTGTTCTTATTTTGTTTTATCTTTACTATTGCTCTCAAAGATGATTCAAGAAACAAACAGCAAACTTGACAGAAACACTGACAAAAGTTACCAAAAATTGGCTCCAGTACTATCCTGCCACCCACATCCTTATCCTATCTAATCAGGAGGAGGGCTCCTACTGCTTCCTTGTTGTTTGTGTGCTTAGCTCCATTTCAGACCACACTGTTCTCTGTAATGATCAGTTTGGATTCTTCCATGTGTCCCCAAAGCCCACAGGATTGTTCTTATTTCCTGACATATGCAAGAGCCTTTCAGTCTCATTTGGTCATTCACCCCAAACTCTGGTAGAACTTCCAGGATGTGAGACCAAGACCCCTTGGTTCCTCCTCAGTCCTTCTCTCTTCAGGCCTTGCCAGGCTTCCTAGTTAGGTCACAT